GGGACCAGAGTGGGAAAGACTCCAGCTGGAAATGTGGCGTTTATTAAAATATATGCAAATGACCAAATATATGCAAATAACCTAAAACTGGCGGGATGAGGAGCCTCTGCCCCGAACCCACAGCCAACGGCATCCACAAGTTCTCCGCCAGGATCTGGGAGAGCCAAAAAAAAAAAAAAGAAAGGGGGTTTAAAAGCCCTCAGGGAGGGGGTGGAGGGTCAAAAGCAGGGGATGAATCCGTGGCCAAGCTGCTGCCGGAGGCGTGGATGTGGCACAAGTCCTTCCCGGGAATGGCTTTCTTCCGGCATCGCTGCCCGGCCCTGGTGAGTGCCCGGCACAGGGAGCGTGGGGACAGCAGGGACCTGCAGGGGACACGCCCGTCAGCCCCCCCCAGGAGGCCACAGCCCACGCTGGGGTGACACCAGGCCCTGGGGAAGGGATGGCCCAGGTGGTCAGAGCTCACGTGGTGGCCCTCGGGATGCAGGGATTGGGCTCCCGGCGCTTCCCGGTGTCCGTGACCGGCTCCAGCGTCACCTGGTGGGGAAGAAAGGGTTTAGGAGGCCCTTCCAACCATCCTGTGATTCTGTGGCCAAAATCCACTCCCAAATCCCCAAACTCATCCCCTGATTCCATGACCGAAATCCACTCCCAAATCCTCAAACCCATCTTATGATCTTATGACCAAAATCCATTCCCAAATCCCCAATCCCATCCCCTGATTCCCTGACCAAAATCTGCTCCCAAATCCCCAAACTCACCCCCTGATTCCCTGACCAAAATCTGCTCCCAAATCCCCAAACCCATCCCATTATTTTATGACCAAAATCCATTCCCAAATCCCCAAACTCATCCCCTGATTCTGTGGCCAAAATCCATTCCCAAATCCCCAAACCCATCCTATGATTTTATGACCAAAATCCATTCCCAAATCCCCAGTCCCATCCCATGATTCCCTGACCAAAATCCATTCCCAAATCCCCAAACCCATCCTATGATTTTATGACCAAAATCCATTCCCAAATCCCCAAACCCACCCCCTGATTCCCTGAACAAATTCCATTCCCAAATCCCCAAACCCATTCTATGACTTTATGACCAAAATCCATTCCCAAATACCCAAACCCATCCTATGATTTTATGACCAAAATCCATTTCCAAATCCCCAAACCCATCCTATGATTTTATGAC